TAATGGGAATAAAATACCATCTAGCTGTGCCCTTGATCTGTACTTCCTTGATCACTAACAATGCTGACCATCTCTCTGTATGCTTAACCAAAAGCAAAACCAAAACCAAACTCACTGCCATCAAGTCAGTTCCAACTCATACCAACCCTCTTTGGGTTTTCAAGGCTGTAAATCTTTACAGAAGCAGACTGCTTCATCTTTCTTCCACAGAGTGGCTGTTGGGTTTGAATCACTGACCTTTGGGTTTGCAGCCAAATGTCTTAACCACGACACCAGTGATCCTGTATGTTTAACAACCTTAGGTTTCTTTACTTCTCTGAAATGCCTCTTTATGTCTCTTACCCAGGTCACCACTGGTGTGTCCTTTCCATATTCATTTGTAGGTGTTCTCTATGGAGATATCTCTCTCTGTCTGTCTGTCTCTCTCTCTCTTTCCCACACACACACACACACACACACCCTCAATACTCAGTGTTTGCTGGTTCTATTTGTTGCAAACACATTGTCCACAGTTTTTCATGTGTCCTCTCATTCTCTTTCAAGGTGTTTTTTTTGACAAATAGAAATTCTTAATTTCAATACAGCCAATTTTTACAACCTTTACTTTGACAATGATTTTTGTGTCATTAAAAAACCCTCCCTTAATCCAAAGCTGGAAGGATATTCACCTTAATCTATAATGTAAAATTCTTCAAGTTTAATTTCTGGTATTTCAATCCATCATCAATTTGGAATTGACGATTGTGTGTGGTATATAAGGACCCAATTTCATTTTGCCTATATTGATAACCACTTTGCAAGTTCCATTAATGCCATAACAGTGCCCGTTCCACGCCAATTCATCAGATTCCATGAAACACTACTCAAAATCCTAAATGGTGCCCCCCCTCAATTAAGTTGATTCTAAACTTTTATACTGAGAAGAAAAGGCCAAGAATAGCCAAAATAACTGTGACAATAAGACTAAGGAAGGTGTGCATACCTAACAAGATATCAAGATATATTATTATAATCATTTAGAGAAATTGACTAAGGTATAGATAATAGCACTATAAAGGTGTATTTTTTTTTTTTAAAAAAGAAAAACCCATTGTTGTTGAGTTGATTCTGACTCCTAGCGATCCTACAGCACAGAGCAGAACTGCCTCTTGGGGTTTCCAAGGCTATAATCTTTAAGGAAGAAGACTGCCACATTTGTACTGTGTACATCATCCTGGATGACTGTCTTTGTCCTCTTGAAGGGCTTAATAAAAGGGTCTCTATAGAGAACATGTTTGAATCTGGGGTCCGTCTTTCCCTAACACAATGGAAAACCAATTTGCTCTGTAAACTTTCACTCAAATCACAACAAAAACTTTAAAATTTTTTTTTAAAGAAGAAAGCTTTAGGACATTTTCTGAAGACAGTAGATATTCAACATAAATAATCACTGATCTCCAAAAAGGAGATAACTCAATCAAAGAGCGGTTAGTCAGTAGGCAAATTCTTAATATGTCACTTCCTGCAACGAATTCATTTCTATACTCATTCATATTTGTATACCAGTGCTTAACAAAAACCATATCCACACAAAACTACACAAAGAAACAAACAAAAACAAAAACACCTCAGGCTGCCACCACCATCATTATCACCAGGGAGGCCATTAGAAATGTAGAATCTAAGGTCTACCCCAGACCTATGAGTCGGGGCCGACTCGAAGGCAAACAACAACAACAACAACAACCCCAGACCTGCTGAATCATAATCTGCATCTGAATCAGAATGTTAACAAAAGTACCAAGGATGCAAGGGAGTTTGCCTGAAGCAACCATGCTACTCCCCCAGCCTCTTCCCCTGAGTCATTCCAGGCTGCCTGCTGTCTTCACAACAGGCAGCTAACCTCCTCCTTTGTTTTGCTCAGGTCTTTTCCTCTCTTCTCTATGCCTCTCCTCTGGTGAATGTCACTAACAATGACTGGCTTCCAAGGGCCTTGGATGCATTCTTTCCCTGAAACCAGCAATTGGACTACACTGTTTTCTGCCCTCTTGGCTTTGTGAGTGCTCCAACCATTTTCATTGATGCATAGAGCTTCCTGCTGCTCCAAATAGAAGGTACCAGATGACTGAATGCCAGCAAAGTGGGGTACATGTGGAACACTTTTTAAACTGAGGGACAGTAACCATCAGTTTTCCAGTAAGAAATAAACAGAATTCTTTTTTTAGAGCTATAATTGACAAAATAGCAGTGTTCATGATGAAACACATAAAGACTGCCAATGGCAATGCTATTGGACCAAACGCAGGTCCCTGCCCGGTGCGCAGTCAGGCCAAAATAGTTTACACACTAAGATTAAGAGGAGAGAAAATTATTTATTGCAAAGCAGCAGTGCAAGGAATTAGGGGTAGTTAGTATCCAGATCTTAAATCACCGAGATACCATCTAAACACAGTTTTTGTAGGTTTCAGGAGAGGGGGTTGTGCATATTCACAAAAGGTTGAGGAATTTGGGGCATGAAGTGAAATGGGTGATGGATGAGTCACTAGTTTCTTGTTATCAGCTGATAAGGGCTTGGGCAGAGAGGAAAGGGTCAGCAATTAACTTTTGTTCCCTTATGAAGGGTGCAAGGGCCAGAGTTCATTTACAAGTTATTTCTAAAATACTTTTAGCAAGTCTATCATCTGCAGGAAGGAATGTTTTTCATTCACTTCTTTAAGGAACTGAATACTCATCTGTTATAAACAGCTGGGGGTAATTTAGTTTACTTATGTTTACTTACCTATTCTCATCCAGGTGCCAGGGTGGGGGAAATAGTTTTAACTTTACTCGGTTTCAGTAATTCACCTGAGTGTTTTACAGAAGGCTATCACTTAGCATTTAAATGTTACAGCCAAGAAAACAAAACTAAACCTATTGCCACCCAGTGGATTCCAACTCACAGACTATACAGGACAGGACAAAGCTACCCCATAGTGTCTTGTCTCCAGGGCTGTAAATCTTTACTACGCAAACTGATCACCACATCTCTCTCTGGTGGAGTGCCTAGTGGGTTGGAACTGCCGACTTTTTCATTTGCAGTCAAGTGCTTAACCACTGTGTCACTAGGGCTCCTTGCTGGCATATAAAGATGCTGAATAAATATTTCCTGAGACATGGTATCACTGTACTAGACTTTCACCTAACTCACAATTTCAATGAGAATGGTTAGAGCCTTTATGGCTAAATTTCCTGTAGGAAAAGTTAAATGAGGAACCACTAGATCCCACCTCCACCAATTGTCTGTCAGTTTGATGTACTGTGGTGGCTTGCGTGTTGCTGTGATGCTGGAAGCTATGCCACTGGTATTTCAAATACCAACAGGACCCACTTATAGTGAGAGATTTTGGTGGAGCTTCCAGACTAAGAGAGACTAAGAAAGACATGTTTTCAAATCCACTTCTGAAGGGGAAAAAAAAAAATTGGGCCACTGGAAGACCTTATGATTAGAAGGAAAACACTGTCTGATATAGTGCCAGAAAATGGATCTTGGCTGAAAGCAAAGAATACCAGAAAGATGTTTTCTTGTGTTTTTATTGACTATGCAAAGGAATTTAGCTGTGTGAAGCATAACAAATTATAGATAGCACAGGAGAGATGTATGTCAGGGTTGTATCCTCTCACCATACTTATGCAATCTGTATGCTCAGCAAATAAGAGAAGCCGGATTATAGGAAGAAGAATGTGGTACCAGGATCTGAGGAAGACTCATTAGCAACCTATGATATACTGGTGACACAACCTTGTTTGCTGAAAGTGAAGAAGACTTGAAGCACTGATTGATGAAGATCAAAGACTACAGTCTTCAGTATGAATTAAACCTCAACATAAAGAAAACAGAAATCCTCACAACTGGACCAATAAGCAACATCACGATAAATGGAAAAAGACTGAAGTTGTCAAAAGATTTCATTTTACTTGGATCCACAATCAACACCCATGGCACCAGCAGCTGAGAACTCAGACTAACTGCACGAGGAAAATCTGCTGCGAAAGACCTCTTTAGAGTGTTAAAGAGCAAAGATGTCACTTTGAAGACTAAGGTAGGCCTAACCCAAGCCATAGGAGCTCTGGTAGCTTAGTGCCTAAGGCACTTGACTGCTAACCACAAGGCTGGTGGTTCAAACCCACCAGCCACTCCTAGGAAGGAAGATGGGGCAATCTACTTCCATAGTGATACTGCCTTGGAAACCTAAGGAGGGGTGGCTATGAGTCGCAATCAACTCGACAGCAGTGCATTTGTGAGTTTGGTAATATGCATGTGAGAGTTGGGCAATGAATAAGGAAGACCTAAGAATTGATCCCTTTGAATTATGGCATTGATGAAAACTACTGAATATACCATAAACTGGCAGAAGATTGAACAAATCTGTCATGGAAGAAGTACAGCCAGAATGCTCTTTGGAAGCGAGAATGGCCAGACTTCGTCTCACCTACTTTGGTCATGCTGTCAGAAGGGACTATTCCCTGGAGAAGGATATCATGCTGGGTAAAGCAGAGGGTCAGCGAAAAAGGGGAAGTTCCTCAACAAGATGGACTGACAGTGGCTGCAATGATGGGCTCAAGTAGCATTGACTGTGAGAATGGCACAGGACCAGGCAGTGTTTTGTTCTGTTGTATATAAGGTCGGTAGGAGTCAGAACCAACTCGATAGCACCTAATAATAACAGATCCCATCTACCTGCATCTACAGCATCACAACACAGGAATGACAAAGCTGCCATAAAATACTCCAAGGTGGTCTGAGTTGCAGAACTCCATACCACATCTTACAAAAGCATCAGAATATTCTGTGTAGACCACCTCATAAAATAAAGTTGTGCAACCAACAAAATGTCCAAGAAGTCAGATTTTCCTATAATTCTGGAATAAAATAAAATTTAACCCCAAAAGCTTTATTAAAATTCTATTTTGAAAAGCTTATTAAGCACACACACCATCTGCTCTATTGTATATGGTCCTTGCTCCCTTGATTAAATACTCACAAGATCAGCATACTTCTTACAGAGAGCTGCCAGCTTCTCCTCGGGAGTCGAAAGGGTGTTTAGGGCTTGCATCAGTAATAAAACTTCTTTTCCTGATGATTAACAAGATAAGAAATAGTCCCAGAAGAAGAATGAGATCAAATCTAGCCTATAAATTCTACATAACCCTTCCCACATTACATCCAGAGTAAAATAATTTACATGGATAATCAGAATTTGATTTACCTATTAAATTAAGAAAACTACTTTTTCATTCTGGATTAGCAGCCATCCCTCCCTCCCAAACCCTATCACTCCAAATTTCATCACTCACTCACTGACATTTAAGTATGAGAAGAACACCTGTTAAAGGTTTAAAAATCCGCCCCTTGATATCCAAGTTAAGACATTTGACAAAGGACAAAGAATATCTGAAAAAGCTTCCTCCTGACCAAGTACCAATACAGAAGCAAAGGAGTTTCATCTAGTTCCCTCTGCCTAAGATACACATGTCGTTACTTACACCACATGTCTTTTAGTACGAACACTTTAAGTAACCAAGGGCTGCTTTCTGATGATTTACCAAAAGACCTTAATGGCAGTGCTTTAAGGGTTTGGGCAGAGAAGTGGCTGACCTAGGAGGGGATAAATGGCACTTCAAAATATGCGATAATGTTGTATTTCTTAATCTGGAAGGCAAGTACCTTTTTTTTTTTAATTATTTTTAAACATTCACTCATATGTAAGATATTTCATAAAATACCAACAGAATATGTATAGAAACCATGCAAGTCAAGCACTGTCAATCTTCAGTGTAATAGATATAAAAAGTAGGGAAGCAACCAGCAAGGCTAAAATCAAAGGGGATGTCAGGATCTCACATCCTCAGTCCTAAATCGCAAACTAACAGCCAAAACAAAATGCCCACTGCCATCAGGTCAATTACACAGCAGAAGGGAGAAAACAGACCCACAAAAACCAGTCTTAACCCACTTTCTAAATTATAGATAATAACGTGTGTTTCTGTGACTAATTTTTAAATAAATTGAGCAAATAAATATAATTTTTACATAATTTTTGGTCAAACTACTATAAAGATGCAAACAAAGTGAGTCAAATACTACTTCTGTCCAATTGGCCCCAAATGTTTTCTAGAAAGCCACCGTCTGATTATTCTGACAAATAATTAAGCTCCCTAACTTTGCTGTTTCCCCTTCCTGAACATAACTGACCTGACCAAAGACAATGTTGTTGTTTGCTGTTGAGTAAGGCCTGACACATAGCGACCCCTCCTTGGGTTTCCCAGGCAGTATCACTATGGAAGTAGATTGCCCAACCTTCCTTCCAAGGAGTGGCTGGTGGGTTTGAACTGCCAGCCTTCTGGTTAGCAGTCAAGTGCCTTAG